CCATTAATTTCTGAAAAAAAAAAAAACTTTAAAATTTATACTAAAATGATAAAAGTTTTAAATAACTTATATTAATTGAGTTACTTTATCTAGTGAAGGAGCAGTAAGTTCTAATCGACTAATAAGAACTTTTTGGTCAAATTTTTAGTGTTGTTAAAACTTAAAAATACTATTTTTGTATATTGAGTGGTCTAGTACTGAATTGCTTGCGCATCAATACAATTTGACTGTACTGATTACGCATAATCCCACCGAGCAAGGATGTTGATATCAGTAGTATTTTATGTTTAATACAACGTTGCAATATCATTAGGTGATGCTGTTATCATACCACTTGCATATTTTTTCAGAAAGAAGTAAAAAACTAATTGATCATTAGTCTACAGTCATAAAAAATTCTTTAATCTTAAATCTAACCGTGGTTGAATAGTCACAACTTAGTTTTTTTTATTACTTTAATTGCTATCAAACCCAAACAAGAAACTATGCTTGCTGTATAGAAATACTTGAAAACTTGATTTTCTAAGTGTTTTAAGTTTTTCACCTTTAAGTAACTTAAGATTGTCATAGAAATTTATGTATAAATATACAAGATGCGATGAATTATACTCAAAACAAAAATTTAATTACTTAATTTTTTTTTTTCTTGTACCTGAAAGACATAGATTTGGATAATTGGCATAGTTAGAAAAATACTTTCTGCAATTGGTAATATTTGAAGTACTTTTTAGAGAAAACCCCTTAGTGTAACAAAAAGTTTTGATGTTTCTTTAATATTTATGATTAGTGTTGCTTACTACGTTACGTACAATAAAACATGAAACGTGGTAGCTATTGGCTTACAAGGTGCAAACTCCTATCTCAAATATAACTTAAATTAACTACTATGACTTTAAGGTTTTTTTACTATGGTACCATTTTTTATGAGAATAAAGCCATCGAACTATGTAATCTAGATATTAATTATTTAACANATTTTTCACCATATGAGAAAGATTTTAGTTAGTGAAGGCTTAAAAAGGACACTGAAGGCAAAAAATTTTCCACCAAAAAGTGTATCAATATCACATCTACAAACTTTACACTTGACATTTCATTTATGAAAAACAGTTTAATACTGCACAATGACTTTTGGACTATTACAGAAAGTTTTTTGTCATTCAGAATGTGAGGACTCTCACGTAGGCAAAAATGTCGTTCAGAAAATTAAGTCAACGTTTTGGATAGAAACATATTGTTGCAGGGTTTAAGAATCCTTCCATGCTGGGAAAAAACGATTTTTCCGCCCTCGGGTGGTTTTGGGAGGCTGGTACTTCCTTGGGCGAAAAAGCAGTTTTCCGGAACTCGTTCGAAAAGTCTCCTTTACGAACCTCGTTACGGACCTCGCCTTCGGCTCGGGCCGCAAACCTCTCGGTTCGCAAACACAGACTTTTCAAACTCGTAGGAAAACTACTATTTTTGCTGTTTACATCTTTATTTCAAGTTATAGAGCATCTATGCTAGAGTCAAATATGGAACATAACAAAAAAAAGTTGTTGACAAAATTATAAGGCACTCCCATACATTTATTGTGCCTAAAAATCAGGACAGTAAAACCCTATTTGTTTTCAGCAGAGTTAACTATCTTGAAATAAAAACAGGCCATGTTTAATCATTTTCTCGAGATGTGGCTACATATATCTATGAACTCACACATGCTTATTTGTATCAAATAATATTGCTTTTTATAAATTTCGTAAGTCTTGAGAGATTTATTGCATTAAAAAATTTTAAACATAGATAAAAATAAAAAAACAGTGTTAAAAAAAAGAATTTTTTTTAGAAACCGTCATATTGATGAAAAAAAAGGTAGAAAAAAAAAAGATAACGCACATGTGCACTTTTTTCAGTTATAACCTTATTCTTGTAATATTCTCAATTTTGAGGTGCAAACTTTTTTACAACAAAGAAAATCTTCTGTTAATAAAATGGAATGCAACAATAAAAACCTTGTGTGACATTTAATTTCGGGGCCCCACCATATTAAAACAGCCTTTGCATTTCTCTCGAAAATCTTGCGTAAATTTAATATTAGTAAAATAATTTTTCGCATAAGTATATCAATAAAGAGTCTTTCAAAATTGTGCATGCACGTATATTAGTCAGATAGATTACGTACTTTACTTGGAATCACAGTTGTCTGGATGAGGTTACGAAATCTACCAACGGACGGATCAACATCTTCAGGATTTATTACTTCTTCATCTTCATTAAAGCTGATACCTTTTTTTTTACGTTTCCTTGAACATTTATGAATTTCATCATCTGGGATACCGAGCATAGAAATCCTTCGATTGTGAGCTGTGTTAAATTCTGTTAAATTCTGCGCACACAGAATAAACGTAAATTTAAAAAAATTAGATATAAAAAAATGCTATTATGAAAAAAGTATCTTATTTAACAAAGAAAGATATTTACGTCAAGCTCCGTTTCTGTTTCTGGTAAACCTAATAAGCCACCAGTATCTAAGTCTTCACTAGTTTTTTCAAATTCATCAACTGCTCTTGGTCCAGTCTGTGGTCTCTCCCTTATAATATAATAACGCGTAGATGCCCCAAAATGAAACGTACTATCTACAGGTAATTGTGTAGGCTTATCAGATTCTAAACGCATGTTACCAATAAACGTTCCATGAGCTAAAATTTTAAATGATTTTTGATAAACTAATCAATGAATAAAGAACATTGTTGATAACTTACTACTTCCTAAGTCAATCAAAAAGGTTCTATTCAAGAATTTATGATATACAAGAGCCGCATGGACTCTGGAGCATGAGGCGTGGTCTATACAAAAGTCATTAAGTTGATGATTGCGACCAAACAAATAACATTTTTTTTCGTCCACCATTAATTTCTGAAAAAAAAAAAAAACTTTAAAATTTATACTAAAATGATAAAAGTTTTAAATAACTTATATTAATTGAGTTACTTTATCTAGTGAAGGAGCAGTAAGTTCTAATCGACTAATAAGAACTTTTTGGTCAAATTTTTAGTGTTGTTAAAACTTAATAAAATTTTGTTACAGTAGGTAGAAGTACACACTAGATTCAACAGAACAACTTTGGACCTGATTTTATTTCCATAAAAATATTTAGCAAGTGGAACCCATATGGTAATAGGATTTACAAAATTTTACAAAGGCAGGCCTAGCTAAATTTGAGAACTTGTAATTCCTAATTTATGAGCTAAGGATGAGCATACAAATTCAATTTTCGTTTTGATTTTTCTTCGTAAGAGAATATTATTAATTATTTTTCTTTATAAAAAACCGTCGGCTTTGCTTGAGACTCACTGAATGATGTGTTGACAAGTAGTGTAAAATAATTAAAGTTAATGTAAAGCAGTTTATTTTGTCCAATAATAAACTGTTAAAAGTAAAAAAAATATGATGATGCTAGAAAGTACCGTGAATTTCTTACGCCATATACGCCATAAAATAATGGTTGGTCTGTGAATTTGCACTTTCTTAGGCTATTATAAATAAAAAAGGAGTATTTGTTTAAAACGTAAATATGTAAAACTTACAAAAATAAAGTACTTAAAAAATTGTTTTTTTCCAATTTTACAACTTTGCGACCAGAACAACAAAGTCCTGGAGCTTCATCTCTCCTATTAAAAAATCTGTAAGATTTTAATGATTACTGTCAGGGTTATAATGAAAAGCTGATCTCTCACGCATGGATTCTTTATTTGTCGATTTTGATGCTGATGTTTCAATCTCCATAAATATTCTGCGTCAGTTTCTTTACGCCTGAAATTGTGTACAAGCACAAGATGCGTTTGAAATTTCCTTTCAATGCGCCCTCTTGCAACTACAGGCATGGGTTAAAACATTTTTGAGTCCTAAGTGCTGTTTTTTGTCAACTTTGTTAATTTGTAATATATTTGTTGGCAACGTAGTTTAACGTTAAATGGCCCTAAAAAGAGCCGATGAGGTAGATGGTTAAGTAGGTAACAAAAATTCTTATAATTGCCCTGAAAAGGACCAATGGTGAAATTTCCAGTTATTCCATATTATTATTCTTGATGATGGAGAGCTGGCTGTGCGGGTAGCTTGACTCTTACCAGCAGAGTCTCTGTATACGGAGATCGTACTGGAGGAAGGTATACCACAGGCCGAAGAATATCTTGTCTACAGGTCGTTCCTCGGATAACTTACCGCTTATTGTTAGTCAGAAAAATGGGTCTTGAGACTACCTTCTCTATGGGTATACCGTTGGGACGAACCATGGAGGAGGACGCCGTTGTGGCTGCCGCAACTTCTCAGGGTTATTTTTTGTACTTTGATGATGGATAAAAATATGCTCTGGTACGCACCATGTCAGTTGGAAAAATGGCCATGGAATTCCAAAATGCTAGAGAAGATTGTGCCCTGGCTAAACACGTTTCCTGGTATTACGCCGGAATATTCGCATTTATAAAACTTTTTTATTGGTGTCATTCGTCCATCCTGGTGGTTTGGGATGAAGTTTGATGTAAATCGCTAGTTCAATAAAAAACAGTGTGATCGGTAGCTGGGACACCGAGCTCTATGTTTCATGCTCTGTTGGTAAACGACTGTGGTATTTATTCCCTTGCTAAAACAACTAGACTTAGTAACTTCTATTGTAGGTAGCTTCGATTTTACTTCCACGAAACCTAGCAGATCCTACTGAACTAAAGTTAAAAGCTAGCTATTTTTTCAAAACTTTGAGCTCATTAACTACTAATGTAAATAATTTTTTAAAGATAAAAACTATAGTGAAACCATCTAGGAAGTATCAAAAATAACTATGCGAAATTTCAGCAAAATTAGTTATCATTATCTAAGTGATAACTTGAAATTTTACAGATTCCAATAATCTCTGATGATTGATCAACTGCTGCATAAGTCATTTCTTTACATTACATAAAAAAAGCAACCGTTTTTTCTTCATTTTCTCAAGCATGATGGTAATATGACTCGTGAAACACAATATTAAGAGCACAGGTTATTTCTGATACTTAACCAGATTTGTCTTCCTAAAAATATTTTGCAACAAGTAGTCAACTGTATATGTTAAGAATCTTCATGCGTCAAATTTTGTTGACTAAGTAAAAGTGCAAGTATGTGGGTGAATCATATAAATAAGTTTGATATAGGGGGCAACAGACTATATACACTAGATATAGAGCGTTAATCACTAAGTAGTGTGCTAGACTCTTATATGAAAAAAATCAAAAGATCGTGGGTTCGAATCTCGCTAAAAAATATTAGTTTTTTCTTTGTTTTTTTTAATAGAATGAATACTCTGAATGCCAAAAACTCACTTGTCTAATTTTTTACACAATTAGTCGATTTGTTTTAAGATGATGTCTGGATCTTTGAATGCTTATTTTTTAGGAGAGCGCCTAGCCAACGCATCAACAAAGTCACTACCTTTTCAGAAAGGTCAGTATGGTTAGGTAGATGGTTTAAAGAGATCGTATCATTAAACTTAAAGTCAGACAGGGTGTCCTTAAAACGATAGCTGCGCCTCACGAAAAGTACTTAGCAATGTAGATGACCGAGTGGTCTCAGGCAAACTTACAGTAAGGTCTCATAAAAAGACTTGTAAACTTAAGGAAAGAAGGAAATGACGGGAAAAATAAGGAAATCAAACACAATACAATCAAAAACTACGATGTCAATTACATTTTCTTAATCGCTTTATGCTTTAGACGTAAATATTCTCCTTTTTTTATACAGTTGTACTGGATTTACAATTGAACTCATTTGAAATGTTTTTCTTACTCTTATGGCAAATTAACCATTATTCTTATCTCGCTAAAATTAGGTTAAATTTACCCCTCACTTTAATCCTTTCCAACTTAGTTTTATCAGTAGCTCTACCACAATAAAACTGTACAATACGTCTAGAGAAAATCATAAGGTATAAGTGAAATCTTACATTGTACTTATTACATTTTATGTAAAGAGACTTTATTTATTCAAACAGTAAATTGTACAGCTCATTAAATAAACTTTACAGCTCTGTCTTACGTATTTAGAAGAAATCCGTTACAGTTCTCCATTATTTTAAATGAATAAAACATTCGTTAAGCCTCCCAAAGCCTCCGAAATATTCCCAGAGCCTTTCACCATATTTTAAGAAAATTTCTGCAGCCTCCACCTTCTTGAAAAAAATCACAATAGCTCCTTATATAGCTCATTATAATTGAATTTATTTTTTTACGTTGTGTTTAAGGCAAATAGAATAATTAAATAATTTTAAGTGATAAGTAGTGTTAATAAATAATTTTTCTCAACAGTCTTGTGTTGAATTTAATTTATTTCATTTAATCTGTATAAATGTAAGGTATGTTAACTTATTTTTATACAGTAACACTAAAGTTTTTCAGTGTTTATAGCGCACCTTGAACAACAGAATTTTTCTTATGTAGCGCAATGACAACCATTGCAAAAAATACTTCTTATGGCGTTCAAAAAATGAACCATTATTCATAATTTATGTTAATTATATTGAAAAAAAATTTGGTTTTAATGATTGTATAAATTAAAACAATAATTGTTTTAGTAAAAATGATGCAACACCAAAACGGTGTTAAAAGATATATAAATGTTATTAGAGAAAGGTAAGAGCAAGCTCCTCGATTTCCTTAAGTTCTATACATGAGCATTGTCTAAAAAAGAAATACGTTTGGCGATCTTTTACCATTCATTCCACTTGCTCATTTTTTCTAGGATAAATTTTGTAGAAGGAACACGAAATAACTTACTTTATAACTTTCTTCTTAAGCGAAACTTTTTAATTCATTGTTAGTCTACAGTTCTTTTTCCATTTTTTAAAACTTTTTGGACCTTTCCAGAAAAAAAAAAAAAAAAATTACTTGCAACATGGTTAAAGTTTTTTGAGAAAAAATATTTCTTGTACAAGTATTTATTGCATTGTAAATAGTTTAAAAAATCACGTCAACTACTTTTTATTCTTACGGACAAACAACCAACCGAGTCTTTTTACATGTAGATGGACATAATAAGCATCAAAAATATAATAATGTCAAATAGATAAAACGAAAAAACTATTTAACAAAGGCAGCAACTCTCACCTACTGTCCAGTGCTAGGTGAAAAAGACCACTTTCAAGTATGGTCAGGTACATATAAGTAATATACATATGAAAGAGCCAATTTAATAGTATGCGCTCACAAAGTACATAGTTATCAGTGCAGAACACAGAATTGTAAGAGTACACCTCCAGCGCAATACACATTACAAGCACTCATAACCACGAAGAAGACACAACTGTACGTACAAATAAAAATAAAGATAAAAATATGACCAGTGCAATTACATAAACTAAGTAAACATTTCAAAAAATGGTTTTTCCTAAATTCTAAAATTTTTTTGTAAATTAAAGTAGCAAATTCTTTCTATGAATACTGTTTTCAGAATAAAAAATATGCAACATTTAAAAAATTTCTCTCTGTATTTCATGGTGCTCTGTATCCAACACTTTTACACTTTTTCTCTCTTCAAAGTTAGAAGTATGACCGCTTACAGTCACATGTTAGTAAAGTACAGACTTTTTTTAATACATTCTATCATACTGAGTCAATCTGATTTTTAATATATGTAAAGTTTGATCCATATCCGCATCACTGCAATTGTAATATTTATTGCAATAAATGATATGAGACTTGCAGTTAGCATCTAAAGAATCGTTTGCTACTTTAATAATAGAAAATAATTAATTGTTAAATGTGTTGATAATGTTCAAGCTTTCTGATCTGAAGAACCTATTGTATTTTTCAGATATGGTAAAATCACTAGAGCTTTTTTATTTTGACTATTGGTAAATTATTACTTCTATTTTTACGGTTTCAAACATTTAT